GACTCAGTACACTGTCAGTGCAGTTTTCTCCTTGTCTGTAGAGCACAACAGCTCTTGGTGACAGGAGATGCCAGAATGTGGTGTTTTGCTTTCCTTCAGTTCTGCTTGAAGGTGTGATTTGCGATGCTGCGAAGAGGTTTCTGCCCTTTAAGAGGCCCCCTGGGAAAGCAAAATTTGCTTTTATTCCTGTGAGTAGTCTGTTTTTCAAGTGTGAATTTTCAGGCCTGGTTACTCTTGACCTGGGAAAGGGGAGTGGGAGGAGAAAAGAAGTCATGCAGAACACATGTTCTGCAGCATCAGCAACAGATGAGGGAGTATTTGATTTTGGCTACAGGGAAGCAGAGTCAGAACTAAGCTGTCAGTATGTTGCACACTATTTGAATGAAAAGTGTTGGCTTGGGGCACTTAACCAGAGCCAAGTTCTATTGTGATATCACTGATTCCAGATATTAAATATCATTTTATGATGGTGATTTAATAAGTTTATGTATTGTCACTGATGCCTTACGTGTTTCATAAACTACGGCTGAGGGCCAGACCCAAAGTTGCTTAAAACAGCTGAGAAGTTCTCATGGATTCCAGGCTGTTTTAGATGTCAGACTCTGTGCTTCATTAATGCATTCTGAGGTTGGGAAGTTTTCAAAAGGTTTCAAATGTTTTATTATATCTTTATTTATTTTAGTCTTTTCCACATTTTTAATCTACATAATTGACATTATACAATCAGAATAAAATCTTCTGGAAGTAAGGTTACACAGAGCATTATAACATATGGCAGAGTGCCTGTTTTTCCACAGTAATAATAGTACAGAAAAGGGAGTGGTTCTGTTCAAATTCTGTTTACCTCCCACCTTAAATTTTGCAATGATCTCTCTTCTCTTAGAACAGTGTTCTGAATATCTTTCTAATGCTTTAGACATGAATTCAGAATAGATAAATGTAATAAGTTGCTTTACCATCCAGTCCTTTAGTAAATGTATGACACCTGAGTTTCTTGCTCCTATTGGTTTCTTTCTACCCCCACCAACGGGTGAAAAAGAAGATGTATCAAAATGATCTGGTACTTTTTCAGTACTAAGTTGAAACAGCACCAGCATTAATAGTCTCCTAAATTTGAGAAAAAAAATAGGTTACTGAGGTAAGAACACAGAGAAAATACTGAATAATAAAATATACCTATCTAAAGGAAGACAGTGAAAGCAAATCAGTTTAAAGAGAAGATAATAACACTCGTACGTTGTCTACTTAGTGCAACATCTAAAATCCCTCATTCCCTTTGTACTGATTTAGAACAACCAGTTATTTGGTAATACTTGCAGCTTTTTATCCTACAGTCAGCCACGGGCAGCTGCTGTGTACTGAACTTGTAAAAAGATGGATAACAGGGTGCTTAAACCCCAACACAGGGCTACTGTTTGCAACTGTGTGGGAGACTGATGCAGCAATGAGTTCTGAAACAATGTTGGGCAGTTCTGATTAAGAAAGTGTCCGTGCTGTCTGGGTGGTGGAAATGGGTCGATCTGGCTTAGTCCTGACTGGGTTGCTCAGTGAATTTCCTCGACCCCTTCCTGTTGCTGGTGTCACTCACTTCACCCATGGGAGGAATCTGCAGGAGATTTGTGGAAGGACTACAGACTGCAAGGGAGCACTGCTTTTACCTGCTTGTTCCCATTAAAATGTTCAGGTAAAATGTTTTTGATCTCTTCTACATATATCTGTGCCAAAATCCATTGAATACATTCAGGGAAAATTTGACCAACTTGTGCTCTCTGAAAGGGTCCGCAGTGGGAGCATCTCTGCCTGACTGCTGACCAAGCAGCTCTCCTAGGTCATGTAGTTGTCTTCAGGGTCTGTGATGTTACCCTCTCTACCTCTGTCTTTGCATGACTTGAAGTCCCAAAGCTTTTTCAGTTTTCTTTTATGAAGAAGAAAGAAAGAAGAGGAACCAGCACCTAATCCTTTTCCTTGTGATAAAGTCTCTGGAGGAAGAACTCGTGGACTAGATTTGCAAAAGATTGGCAACAACTTTTTCCTGAAATCCAATGGCATTTCACAATCCCAACTGAGAACTGTCCATAGGAGAATAGGCATAATTACGATGCTCATTCATATGATCAAGGAATGTCATATGCTATGTCTGCTCATCACAAAGAGATTAGCTTTAATTTTCTAGTCTGGATGACTGCACAGGTTACTCAACATTATCTTTGGTTTGCTAATCCTCAAAGAATCTATTTCTTTTTTTATGTTATTGCCATGGAAACCGGCTAAATTGCAGATCCAGATTACATCTTTACTGTTCACTCACTTTCATTTTGGTCTGCAGACTTCCTTTACGTGCTAGGAAGATGCAAAGAACAAATCAATATTGTTCCTTGAAACACAGAGTCACTCCCTGTGCTCTCCAGCCTTCACTATATGGGTGTAGCCACTTGTGTTCTGTCTCTTAGGGCAAGAGACAGGAAACCTGAAGGTCTGCTACCTGCAGCCTCATTTTCTGCAATAACATTGCTCAGCCAAGCTTGAGAGGACAACTCAGCAGATTGCTTTCTTATCTGTTTCTCAAGACTTTGTAAGTAGGCACACAGTGATGCAGAGAGAACAGTTACCATTTGGAGCACAAATTTAGGAAGTGTTTTCCAGATGCACTAAAACTGTTGAAAACAGGTATAATCAGGAGTCAAGGAGAATTGCTATTAAAAGTGTCAAGAGTGGTGAAGGCTCTCTGTCAGAACCCAGATAATGAAGTACTTAAGGGAAGAATGTGTCTGCATGGAACAAATGATGGCACGAACCATAGGTGTTACTGATCTCATGTTTTTGGGATTTGAGTGCTGTCTTGAGCATGGGAGATCTTGAAATTTATTTTGCTTAGGCATTCATCTAGGTACCAGGTAAACGGGCCCTCTCTTGTGACCTGGGTGGATTCTTAGAGGTGAAATGTAGAGACTACACCTCTTTAGAGACCTGTTGCAAGCTCTTGTTTTAATCAAATGATAATGGAGTTCCTTCTGATAAAATGGCCTTTTTTCCTTGGGAAATTTTGTATGTTTGAAAGTGAATGTTGGGGGGAAAAAATTGAAATGAGTTACATATATTTTCTTTTAAGTGTTTGGAAAACCTGGATATGCATGTATAAGTAGCCCCTAGGCAGCAATAAGATTAGAAACTGGCACTTACATATCAAGTCCTAACACATGCTACCAACCTTGGTGATGTTACAAGTGTAATCTTCACACAGATAGCACTTTTTAGAGGATCTATAATTCGTTAGTCACTGATGTCTTTGCCTTGCATCAGGCATTCAGATCTGATGTCCACTTCCCACTGTACTTGCACTGCAGTCAAGTTACAAGGAAAAAATCTGTTCTTTATTGTTGTATTTCTTTGTCTCTGAACCTTTTGTAATAAAGTTTCATTTTGGAGAAGTCTTTCTCTATCAGTGGGAAGTCTTTTATCCCAATAGACATCACTATGGATCATAAGAAGTTGAGGGAAATAAGTACCCTTATGCTGCATGAGAAAGCAGCTTTGCATTACAGTTTTTCATTCTGTTTCTATGTGAAGGATGTTGAGATTGCTTCTCTTTCACTCTGACCTGACAGAGTGCAACATATGCCCTTGTCTGTCTCTCCAGAGAGTGAGTTAACATTGGTAATAGAATGGGTGAGTTTACTAAAAATAGGAGGTAGAATAAAATTATTTGGCTTTAAGAGATCTATTTCTAACCTATTTCAATATCTTGTTAGTTTATATGAATGCTTCATTGACAGAGGTTGCTGTTGTTGCAGAAAGGCTTGTGTAAATGGAGCATGGCTGGTTATATGGCTGATTTTGGCTGAACCTGGTAATATTATGTTCACTGCATCCTCGAAATTTGTATTCAGAAGAAATGAGAGGAGCTTTTAATTTTGTCAGCTGTCATTATCCAGTGCATTTGCATGATTTGCCTGCTTTAGTGAAGGAGGACTTTGCTAGTGAGAGCAGTGCATAGTCTAGTGTTCATACTACAGGAAAAGGTGCTCAGGAGCCAAATGTGTGTTCCTGATTCTGTCACGGATTCTGGAAGTTTTCTTGTATATAAAATGTGGCTTCCTGAGGGCAAAAAAACTAAATAAAATTAGGAGCCAGGCACTTTGAAAATGTTGGCCTCAATATGTCAATTTTTACATTTCTAAATTGGAGGATTATAAGTATTTCATAGGACTCTGGAAAGGCTCTGTGAGTGTTTGCAATGTGTTTTAGAGCTGGTAGTAGGGCAAGTTGCACTGCAATGCAGGGAGCAACATCTTCAGATCACACCTCTGGAGCATTTGTACGGTTGGTGACAACCTCGTATGACAGCAATCCATTAAGAGACTGTCATAGATCTGATTTTCTCAGATGTATCATTCTCATCTTCCCCAGGAATTTTATCTGGAGGAAAAGAAGAATTTGTTTGTTTGTCCCAGATGCCCCCAGAGTATGTCAGAGCTGCTGTTCAATGTTCCATTTGTTGTCATATGCATTATGTGATATTCATGCCCAGAGCACTGTTGCACAAGATGGCTGACTGTCCATGTCAGGGGTTTGTGAAGGGATAGAATCTTCAGCGGAGTTCATGGCAAGTGCTCAGTCTACCTTATCAAAAAAACATAAATAAATTGTGCCTGCAGATTTTACAGGTTATTGTGATTGTGTCAACCATAGTTAAAGAATTAGAAATCTTTCAGGAAAAGGAAAAAACCCCAACTCCATGTTTAATTAATCAATATCTGACAGGAAATCCAGCTTCTTCCCTTTTTTATCAATAATATTTAATTTTAATAAGTTGCCTGCCCTGTCACAGTTTGACATACAAACCTTGTTTGACATATGGTGGCTGTTGCTTGCACTTGGAACTTGAATGTACTATGTAGACCATGTAACTAATGATATGGGGGTTTGTTCATCCTTTCAGTTAATTTTATGTGTTCTTTTTTTCCCTCCCCTTCGTGCTGCACGGCTGATTACCACCCTAGGACCTTGCAATGGGACACAGACCCCTCAGTGCTGCAACTTCAGTCTGACTCTGAACTTGGGTATATGTCAGCTCTTTTTGTTATTAGTTGATTATTTCTTTGCAAGAATTATGTTGAAAATGCTTCCTAGTTGAGCTGGTTGTTTGTGTGATTTTTATTTGCTTTGTCGACTCAAAAAGACCATAGTTTAAGTTTCCTTTTTTTAGTTTGATAAATAAGAAACCTCAGCAAAGCCATTGTTGTAGAAAAAAACCCCAACTATTTAAATAATCACATGAAAAGATAAGTTGCTGTTTCTGTTGCCTGAAACACAATAAAAATAACTATTTCGTTACAGATGAAATGTTATTATTGTGGCACATATATGCATGTACAGTTACATTGATCTTGTTTGTACCTGTTGATTCAGACTGTTCTCTCTGAATCATTTGCAAGGTACTTTGCCCCCTCCTTTCTGTCTGCTATAGTTACGCTGTTTCCACATGCAGTAGCAATTTCCTGGTTTTCATTAGGTGTTGTGTATGTGCTTATAATTGTGCACTTAAATATGATCATAATACAAGAGTAATTGCCATCTTAGTTGAGTTCAGACCAATCAAGATTTTTTTAAATTGTACTAGAGCTAAAATAAATATTTTCTAGTTTGGGATGGAACTTCTTTACCCCAAGCACGTGAAAAAAAATCGTTAATTTAAGTAATGTAGAAATGCTTACCTGCAGAGATATTTAGGATAAACTGTTCCTCTAAAAGCATAGGTAGCAGTACTTCAGGTTCTTCGGAGCTTGAGTCATAGGCAAAACCAAATCACTGTCTCGAAAAATTTGCTCTACCTATGAACTTACAGGCTTTCCTGTCTGAGTGTCCAGGCAAGTGTCTTGTGCTTTTACTAGTTCGTGTGCTAGTTCATTCACCATTCTGTAAGAAAACCAACAATTTCCTTTAACTGCTGATTGACAGTGCTCCCAGCTGCAGTTAGGGATGTTACGGCTATTCACCAGGAAAGATCAGAAGGAGAATATCCAGAAAGCTTTCCAAACAGGTTCTCCATATCCGGAACTGCTAGGAATGTTTACAGTCTTCACATGATTGTGGCTTCAAATAGGTCCAACTTCTACAACTTTACCTGAACTGTACCAAAAAGGCAAAGTTTTTTGAACTGTTTTAACACACAGAAACCCTTTAGCAATCTCAGCTGGTTTTTTTCCAGAAGTTTGGGTTAAAAGATGGGCACACCTAGGAGCAAGGTTCCTCAAGGAGTTGTGCAAGGCAAGTCCCTTTATTTGAATCATGAAAAGATAACCCTATATATAGCTATGAGACTTCAATCATTTATGAGTAGTGAGTGCAACGGCAAGAAAGAAGCATGCCAAAGAGCAAATCCATAGGTATACACTTTAATGGAGGTTCTGCCCCTTTGAAAGAAAAATGTCTTCAAAACCAAAGCAGAGCTAAACTTTCCTCTAGTGTCATAAGACTAGATAAAAAACCTCCAAAATCCAATGCAAAAGAAATTCTGCAGTCAGCAAATACATGATATATGCAGCAAAATACTTCTAGCAGGTACATCTTTCTTCTGATACCTATAGACAAAGGAACCAATTTTATTGGGTGGACTTTAGTTACTGTCCTTCTACTCACATCCCACTGGCAGTTTTGAAAGGAATCCTTCAAAGCTTAAGTGCTCTCAAAGATGAATATTCAGGTAATATATAAGAATTATGAGCAGCTTCGATGAAAAATGGGGATAAGAAAACAATAGACAGCTTAGTGTGGCCCTAAAAGGAACTAGAGACTAGAACGTTACAGTTCATATTTGATAGAGTCCAGATACTGAAAGGATGCACCAATTGTCTCCAAGTGCTTGGCTAGGCCAACTTTTAGTTACACAAGAACAATTACGTGCTGCTTTACAGGGGCAAAAAATAATCAGGAGATCATGTCACTTCAGATGAAGAAGGACTTCCCTTCCCTATCTTCACCAGTAATTACTAGACTATGGGTGGTACAAGGCATTTGTACAGGTAGCAGCAATGTCTGAACTGTAAATGTTTTAGGTGAAAAATTCCACACGCCGTCTCAGCACAGTGCTCTGGGATTTAGCTCACTTCTTGGATAGCAGGGTACAAAGAGATTAAACCAACCAGCTGTTTAATCCAGCTAGCTGTTCCCCCTCCTCATGTGAGGAGATACAGAATGACCTCATGTGAAACTGTTGTTAGAATTACATGAGGTTCTAATTAGGTCCAGATTAGTCACATAATTATTTAGGGATTACACTTAACCAAGACCACTGTCAAGAGACTTTCAATGCAGGATGCTTAAGATTCTCAGTAAATGGAAAGAGTAGCCTGGGGCAGCAGGGGACTGGTTACATAGGAAAGTCTAACTGACCAAGTTAGATTGCACATCTGGTGTTAAAGAAGGGAAAAACACATCAGATACTGCTGATATTTATTAAAGTTTGAATTCACACAGACCCTCAGTTAAAGCAGCTACAAAAATGTAAAACTACTAAAACTTCTATTACCTGAAGAAGCTTTTCTGCCCCCAGTAACAAGGTAGAAGTTTTTCTGTAAAATTTTCTGACAATTGTTCACCTTGGCAAAGTCACAGATGGTTGTAAGGAGGGAGACTTGTTAATTTTTCATCTTTGTAAAGAGCTCAGAGCCATAACAACTGTTTCTGCTCTAGTGGTTTGTTATGCGATACAACTGATTGGTACTGATGAATCTAATTACATTCAGCTTAATAACGACTCAGCCGGTAAGATAGAACAGAAAAATATATAGCTGATGTAGCGTTAACCACCTGAAAAGTTCAGTAGGTGTTATCCAATGATGACAGTTTCTTTTTGAGACTTCCATTTCCTTTCAGGTATCAACCTTAATTGAATACCAACACCACTGTAAATTAATTAGATAAAAACCCCTTTGACTTCTGTTCTTCTGAGAGTCTGGAAAATGAAGAGGATATGGCTAATGTGCATGAATTTTCTACTTTTCAAAGTTGTTCTCTGTAATAACATGACAGTTGAGAAACATCGTGTCCATGAATTTATTTCCCATAAATGCACAAACATGCTCACACTTGCGGATTTAGGCAACTGGACTTAGTTGATTAGTTTATTATGCTTGCATTCTTTTCTCTGCCGAAAATTGACATATTTTCCAAACACTTGCAAGTAATCATTTGTATATTCTTCACTTCCTGCAAACAGAAAAATAATATTCAGGAAATAAACTTATTCCCCACACACACACACACTGTTGAATGAACTATGTATGACAAAGTATTCATGGCCATGTTCAGCTGTCTCTCTTCTCTTTCCCTTACCCACTTACAGTTGGCTTCACTGATTTATTTCATATGATTTATTTAGAGTAAGGGAAGTAGTCAAAAAAGAAGGCTATTCTTGCCCTGTTCCAGTTGTGTTTTAGCTCTCCTTCAGCCCTCGAATTAGAACTTTCTTAATCATAAACCTACATCAATTCCACTACTAATGACTCCTGTGGAAGGGAGAATCTCCTTTATGGAAATCACCCAACTTGCCAATTAAAAGTTCTATTATTGCTCTCAGCTGAACATCTGACAGTCCTAATCTGGTGTGGTTTACACCCACTGTGCCCTTTCCATTATTGTGTTTCCCAGGCTGAGGATGAACTCTTTTGAGCAGGCAGAACGTTGTAGTAATGATGGCATGAAAGAGAATTTTGTTGCATGCTAAGAAGGGTGCAAGCAGGTCATTTCTCACTCCCATTTACAGTCTCTCTCAACAGCATGATCTAGAGGTTCAGTAACTGTACTTTATTATGGCAAATGGTTCTCAGGTTAATTTTGTTCACTGCAATTAGGTACTTCTCATGCATACTGTATTGTGTTTCATCTTAACAAACACCGAAGTATTTTTTTATTCTGTTCATAAAAGCAAACACTTTTGTTCCTGCTGCTGATTTACATTTAATGTGACTAATCTTTTGATGTCATGTATTCCACCTTAGACGCAGACTGCACAAACTAGGGGTGTCAAAGATTACCCAGGTTGATTTCTTACCTCGGGAGGTGGTATCATACTCCAAGGAGACGCAGACACCTCTTGCCACACATCAATCTGAAGGTAAGATATTTTTTTCTCAAAAAACATTTTCATAGGAAGTTAGTATTTGAGTGAGAGTTAAAGAATGCAACAAAACTAGCAGTAAATCATAATGTAGCTGTTTATCATGTATTTTCTGCAAGCCAGGTATTGTTTATGAGATTAATGGCTGTTCTGGTGAAAATAATTATAATAATGACTTTAAAAGCAGGTGGAACCAAAGTGCTTCTGACTTACAATAGGTTGTGCTTAGATAGCAGTGTAATGGGAACATATTTTCAAATAAATAATTATGAATATAATTAAAATAGTGTTTTATTCAGTTTTTTTGCTTTCTCAAGGTAGTTATTCATTCCATGCTTTGCAAAGAGGCAGTCTTGGAAAGTTGCCTTCAGTTGTTTGGTCAGTGTCCTCCTGCCATAGGTGAGCTTAGGAGAAGCTGCAGCTTATCTCCATGTTCTGAAAAATGAGGTTTACATACTTTGATATGGACGGTCCTACTTTCCCCCTGGTGACACCAGGCTGAAATATGTCCTCCTGAAGGTGTTTGTTAGCTGTTTGGCTTTCCTGTTGATAAATAAATACATGGAGTAGGTAGGGAAGTGATGATCTATCTGTTCCATAGATTACACACTTGCCGGTTTTGTACTGCAAAATGCTGATTGCAGGTCAGTGTAGTACCATTTAAACTGAATTCAAAACTGTGCCTTAGCCTGTGATCTACACACTGTTACAAAGCAGGTAGAAGAAGAAAAACTGATGACAGTCTTGACTGTAATTTTTGCTATTAACAATGAAGGACCAAGAAAAGTTCAACAACTGGGTGCTTTTTGCAGCAGATAGTGTAAAACTTCACCAGGCTCTGTGCAGAGAAGAAAAATACTCAAGTAGGTTCAGAAGGTGGTGCTGGTGATAAATCTCTCTAAATATAAGTTACTGTCAGGAAAGATAGAGTGATAAACATAGCCAGCTTTTTTTTTCTGCAACTGGGTTACCAGGTCTTCCTTAGGAACCAGAAATGGAAACTGCTGAGCCAGATTCTCAGATTCTCCTTTCCTGGACCACAAGTTTACCCTGGTTATCTGTGGACTTAAATAGTCCTTCAAACATAGACAACCCTGTTGCTTGGATGATACTTCCTGAGCAGCATGTCCAGGGAGTTTTCCTGCTCATAAGGAGAGGCTGTCTGAGAACCAATCCAGCCTCAATCCAGCTCATCTCTCCTTGTCTCTCTGCTGGCTGCTGAAGCTTTGAGAAGATAGGGATTGCCCCTGAGTCCTTGGTGCTCAACCCTGGATCATTATCATGGAGTTGTCTTTAGGTCAAATGGAAAGGGTGCCTTTCCTCGCTGACACAGGGCCTTTATCCAATGGAAGAACCTATGGATGTGGGGAATTTAAGACTTGGCTTTGATGTGTTTGCCTCCCTCAGACTTCCAACTCCAGCACTCACTAGCTGACCTGCCTTTCTGAACAGACCAAGCTCTCTTGAGGAAGCATCTTCTTCCAGTAAGATCTTCTTGCTTTATTTGTCAAGGAGCTCTTCAACTATTACAAAATCCTTTTCTTGGCTAGAGAAGAGGACAATCTCCTACCCTTCAAGGAAAAAAAACCCAAACAGCAGTGTGAGGCAGTGGAGCCTGGCAGTCAGGACAGTAAGCAGAGAGGGCTTACTCATTTGTCATTTGTCTTGGTCCTACCAGCACAAAGGAAGCTCACTTATTCCTCATATGTATGAAAGATGAGTGCAAACATAAGAAGTCATGGACTTTAAACTGCCTAGGCCAAAATTCTGATGGAAGAGATCAAATGGGGAAATGCGGTTTTAGTGACTGGATTTGTTATCTTTTATATTTTCGGTGTCATTACAGTCAAGGAAAAGCAGAAAGTGAAAGAGAGTCAGGAAAGTTTGGTTCCATTGAAAGAGTATTTAATTGGAAACTGTCTAGGGGGTAAATAAGCACTGTGATTTTGGTCTCCCGGGTCTGATGGAAATGAATTCTCATGGTTTCAATTTCCCAAGCCTCTTTGTAAATGTTGAGCCCTTCATACTGTTACTCTAAACATCAACAGCAAACAGAGGGGAATTCCTTGGGAAAGCAGTTTTAAGAAGTCTCTATACTGTTTCTATGCATTCATGTGATAAAATATAGCCATTATCTTTACAAGATAAATTGCTAGGCCATTACTATGGTTATGGGCTCAGTTATTCAGCATCTGAAGCCTTTGAGTTTGAGAATAGAAAATAAGAAACTTCTTATTTACTTAGATGAGTCTGACTTCAGCTTTCAGAATTCACACTTTCTCTACCTGCCTTGAATGCTGGAAATGTCAAATGCAGAATTTTAGGAAGAGAATGTCATGTGCTTGCTTCTTGTTTGGAAAACAACTAATGAAGGGTACAGCTGGTTGGAAAGATGGGTGAAAGAGGATTTTGAGTGTCCATTCAAAGTTCTTTAGCTTTTTTGAAATGTCAGTATCAGGTTGTCTGCATATTGCTTCTCCAGAGAGAAAGAAAGAAACTCTGAGATACGTTAAACCTACGGCTGTTCTGGAGCTCAGTGGATGTAGGCCTTTGTAGTAATGGCTATTGCCCATCAAACCTTATAAAACCGGTAAAGGAAGGGTTCACTCTGGTAAGTGCATGTGGTGCCAGAAAGCCAGATGCTATATGCAGTGAAGTCTCAGCTTGTCAGCTGCTAATTTTAGAAGAAATAATGTGGCATTGTTCTTCACTGTATAAAAACAGATTAACTCCTCTTTTCAGAACAGGTAATTTGCTTTATTTCAGAGGAATAATGACATGTCATTTCTCCCAATGACTCTATTATTTAGGGAGATGTGTATATGCATCATTCAACCCTTTGATCACAAGCACCTAATTCTTTCGCTTTATTTAGGTCACAGTAAGCTTCAGCCTTTTCTTTTCTTCCTTGCAGGATGACTTCAAAAACATACAGATCTTGGCTCTAAAGCCTGAGAAAAAACATGCTCTTTACTTTTCCCCTCCTTCTTCTATAATGAACTTGAATTTAGGTATTTGTAGGCATTGAGAGACATTTCACTTGTGTTGCTTTTTCCATTCTGGAGTTGATTAAGACCTAGACTATGACAAATGTTTTCTGAGAGGTCTCTGGGACACATTCCTTCATTATGCAGAGACTCTCACATCACCCCGGAATGGCAGCCCCATGTAGCCTTCGATGGTTGGACCCTCCAAAGCACTGCAGACCTGCTGTTTGCTGAAGGCATCCCTAGAAGAAAGCAGCAACAGAAAAGCCATGGCCTGGCCTCTGCCCAGGATGAATCCCTCACTGCCATACAGCAGTGGAAGGAGGTCTGTATGTCTGCCTGCAAATCAGCTTTTCAGATAGGAAAGCAGTCTGCACATTCAAGCTCTCCTAGATGCCTGCCTCAGCTCCATCTTACTGTTCTGCCCTTTAATGGGCCAGGAGGTAAAATCTCAGTGAGGAAAACATCATGCTGTCCCTGCACAGACAAGGGAGGTAATCCTCTGATCTGGCTCCCCTCAGAAACTGGAAAGCAGCAAGGTGGTGAAGGTCTGTGAGCTCTCTGGCTTTGCTGGCCAGTGTCAGGAGTGTTGTTATTTCTCTTTTGTGAGGTAGAAACTCCTTCATCAATAAAATGAGATGTTCTCACGTTCTGGCTTGCCAGACTGTCACTAGAAATAGGCTGATCAGAAACACATTTCTGAAAAAGCAGGTCCTGTGTATAAGAGAAGATCTGACTTTCCAGAAGAATGGATGTCCTAGGTATTTAATCTGTTTATCATCTTCGACAGATGTTTGTTCACATGGGGAAAACAAATGATATGCCATACTCTCCTCCTGAGCAGGATAACTTCATTGTGTATCACAAATGTAGCCCAGTTCTGGCAAGGAGTAGAACTGAGACCTGTGATCCATCTGTTTATCTGCCATATTCAAACACTGAGGATATTTTTAAAGAGGAAGAATTAGCTCTCTCCTCCATCTGGAAGTAGACTGGAATGAAGTGGCAAAATGGAGGTGGAGCTGCAGAGGCTGGGTTGGGTTCTGCATGTCTCTGACAGGGTAATTCTTTGAATTAAGGTTCCTGAAAGTTATCCTTTTTAATCCACTGAGGGAGGAGTGGGGAATTCTGCTCACAGTCAGGCTCATCAGACCAAGACATAAGTTTGGGTGCATGAGACCAAATCTAAGTGCCTGCTGTAGGGTGAACCCAAACTCTCTAGATGCCACTGATCACATCGACTAGTTCTTCACTGACTAGCTTGATAACAGAGCACTTCATGTGGGCATATTAATGTAGACTTCTCATTATTGAGTAAAATGCGCGTGACTTAAAGAGTCATGCATTGACATCGTGTGAGGGCTGTGTCCTACTTCGAATTTTAGTAATTGAATGATCTGTGACTAGGACTGACAAACCCCAGTGCCATGCAAGCAAGTCAGGCCTCTGTAATTTTATCATTTCCATTATAAAATCCATAGATAAAGCTATTTATACTGTCATTGTTAGGGTTTGAGACTTCCAGATTCAATCAGTGTGGGGATCTGTGCAGCAGAGTTCTAGCACATCAAATTCTGCACCAATCCTTTTGCGGCTGACTATAACTCAGCTTTGTGAATGTATGCTGTACTTGAGAAAACCCAGTCCCAGAACTAGTCATACTTGAGTTTTTCCATGCTCAGTCTGGCTAGAGCTCATGGATCAGAAGCTGGGGTTTAAGCTAAAGAGCTTACTTTGGCTTTTTCCTTCCTGAGAATTTTAAGCTCAGCTCCAGTCTGAAGAGGACAAGTCTGGACCCAAGAATAGCTTTGAACCCCTTATTTAGTGGGAAATACAGATGCACATTTGTGCATTTACATGCATGAAATATTTGTGTTGAGATACATGAACATGTTTGATAGAAAGGCATTGGACATAGTTGTGGGGAGAAAAAGAGACCTGTTGTAAACAAAAAGGTGTTGGAAAACAGAGCAGAACTGGGATAGAAATTACTATGAAAAAGAGAAGACA